TTCGAACTAGTCAATATAGGAACAAACTAAGGGCAGCATCGTGATCCTCTCGTCAATCCGCATCGAATGATATATATGTTGACCTCGAAAGGTCAAGGTCAAAGGTTGACCTCAGGTCACGTGACCTTAAGGTCATCATGTATATCATTCGATGCGCCTTGACGAGCTGAACACAATGAGACCATCCGCGCGGCTGTATCTTGTTCCTGTACGGAGTTATTGTTAAAAAACCGCTGGTGACCTTTGGTGACGTCACATGACCTTACAGCTGCCCAACAGCAAAACAGACCTCAAGGTAGTGAAGGTTGATCGTATATGAGGTCATGTATGGTTTATGGGGCCATTCCGACCCGTTTTAGTGGTAAAAACAGGGAGTTGATTTTTCCCCCATTGACTTATAATGGGGAGGTCGAGAAATTGACCTGACCTTAGGTCACCGATATCAAAATTCTGAGATATACAAATTGTAGCTACTAATGATCTAATAACATCCTGCGACTTTCAAAGGCCTCCGACATCTACTGTAGCTCTGGCACGGTGACAAAGTTGCAAAAAAGTGACTTGAGGTTGGGTCATTCAAAGTGACCTGGTGACCTGACCTTAAAAGTTAGGAGGTTCAAACTTGCACACCATGTGTAAAATTGATGAGAGAATAGTCGTACCAAATTTCGCGGCGCGTAGCGCCGCGGTTTTCCCGCTATTCGCGAAAAACCTCAGGGGGGGGGGCGGATATCCGCCCCCCCGTCGGTGCGCGGGTTAATGCATCATATTGCATATCATTCGACTCGGCTGATGAAGAAGAACACAACGACACCATTTTTGAAGCTCTAGCTTCATTGTCTGTCGCGTTATCTGCAAAAACGTAGTTTGACCCTAGTTGACCTTAAGTGACATGACTGGCTTTGTCTATGATAACATGTTTATTTTCGAAATTTATCTTTGATCTAGGTGTAAACCAAACCTGCTCAGTACTTATTATCTCATGGAAAACAGTGGTTTAGTGGCATTGCTCTCGGTTGGGGGTAAGCTTGGTCACTCGCCCGGGATTACCCCAATGTGCTAATTTTTATTTTAGAACAGCGATATTCGAAAAAATGTCATACTTAAGCCAGCCTGCCTCGTCACCCCTCACTACAAACACTTAAACGGTCCTTACATAACATTCGTATAAATAGTAGTACTGTATGGTATAACATTAACAGTGCAACATATCTCACTTTTTAGCTAAAAACCCTTAAAATATCATTTTTGCGCTATAACTTTAACAATATGCAATTTTTGTCAGCCTTAACTTTTTTGCTGGCGTTACCTTAGCTGCCACGCTGAAAGGACAAACAGTTGAGCATTTTATTGTGAATAATTTAGCCGGAAACGGGGTGGCCGGGCTTCCCCCGCACCCGGGCTTCCCCCGGCTTCCCCTACGTGGGATAGTTTTAGATTATTCTCGGCGCCAAAATAACAGTTTTTTACATTTCCCCATTGATTTATAACAGTGATGTCACGTGACCGACCTGACCTCATGTAACCTTGAAAAAAATCCCAGATATACAAGTTGTGAGACCTCTGGAGGATACCATGTATGCGTCCTGCAACTTTCATCTCGGACAGCTATGGTCATTGGCGTCCAAAACAATGTCAGAACCAAACAGCCTTTTTCACCCTCGCGCTTATAGGACAGAGGGTTGGATGAACCCTCTTTTCACTTTTTTCAGATGACTCAGACTTAATTTGAAATTTCAGTAACCCGTGATGTCACTAGGCAGCTTTACCACGCCATTTGTAAGCTCCCCTCCCGAAATCACTATTCGAAACCGTTATCGTGACGTAAAATAAATACATTTATAGAAAGAACACCTTCCTAATTTTTTGCATACTTCTTAACAATGAGCCAAATATTTTTCTAAAGAAATAAAAATTAAAAAAGAAATTGGTCCCAAAGTCCAAAAAATACAAATGAAAGAAAACTCGATATGTCATATATCAAAAATAGCGTATTTTTCGAAATTTCAAAAATACATATTAATCTCTGTTTCATTGCAAGTTCAATGTTATATAACATTTGGCATTTGAATAATCCGTCTTAGAGTTACAGCCCGCCAAACTTAGCGCTGCAAAGCAAGATCCAAAAAATGTTATACATCATAACTCAAAAAATACTTATCTGATAAGCCTGAAATTGTTACAGGTGGCTTCAGAGCCCCTGATTACCCCTGAGACCAATTCTCGTCAAATTCCGAGAGATGAGGGTGTCAAATTGGAAAAAAGTGGTACGATCTATCGTGGAATGCCCCAGGTACTTGAGCACGGCGCGGCGGTGAACGCACATATATGTACGCACAGGAGCTTTTATTGTGATCTTAGCACTCCCACTTTTGTTTTACATGTTTTAAGTGTCTTTTACCCATATCGTGTCTTTTACCGGTTATCTAAGTGTCTTTTGCCCATATTGTTGACGCGAGCACATGAAAAACCAGTGATTGTCTGGATGAGCTTTAAATATATTATGATTCTGGAACCCGAGGCTGTGGCTTGATATTGACTCGAGGAATCGATTGCGACCTTTACCTATTTTTACGATCAACGAATCCTTGAGGCACTTTTGACGTGCTCCATCCTTTAAAGGCTGAAACAGACTCTTTCCGCGTTCAGGAAATCGCATGCGAGAGCCTATTCCAATACATTATAATTCTTCTCGCATCAATCGCTTGCGGGAGGTGCGTGCGATTGATGCGAGCGTGCTTCCATGTATTTGAATAGGCTCTCGCGTGCGATTTCCTGACTGCGGAAAGAGTCTGTTTCAGGCTTAAGGGACGATTATCCCGCACCGTAGGACGTGCAAAGAGAGAAAATTATCAGATGTCGTGTAACTTATTTGTTAAACGTCTAGACGATAAACAAATTGTTAAACGTCTTTTAGACATTTCGTCTAGTCCGAAGTATGTTCTATTTTTATATAAAATATATTTTTTACCTATAGGCCCGAAAGATATCGGCGGTACGGCATAAACGTAACCACGAGTAGGTAGAAAAATAAACGTATCGCCTTATATTAAACTGCGAGTAGGTAGAGCAAATCTTTTAAACGTCGAACCGATAGGCGAGACGTTAAGCGACATCTGATAATTTTCTCTTTTTGCACGTGAAGCAATGTTTACGGTGCGAGATAATATACATATATTAAACCGCGAGTAGGTAGAACACATCTTTTAAATGTGGAGCCGATAAGCGAGACGTTTGAATAATTTTTCTACCTACGAGCGGTTTAATGATTTCATCCCGTACCGCTGATTCCTTTCGGGGACTGTACGGTAAAAAATACATTTTATATAAAAATACGACATATTTCAGCAGAGCCAGAGACAAAGAGAAGCAGAGACAGATGAAGCTTTGAAAAACGGTCCAAACAATGAGATCGGTCTGAAATTGACGGGTACATTGAAGATCAAGTCCAAAATAGAACTAAGAAAGAAAAGGAAAATGATGTTTCATTGCGTGTCCCTGCGCATACTGGTGAAAACAACAAGACGGTAAAATGGCAGAAATGTCTACTAGACGTTTAACAGTTTGTTAATCGTCACTAGACATTTAAAAAGTTGACCTGTGGCCGCCGCCGAGGTCGGACGTGCGCGCGAGCTCTCGCCCACTACCCGCCGAGTCCCGTGTGCGTTTCGGTGCGGTGCGGCGGGGGCGAGTCGGGGCGCTGATAGAGCTGACGGCTGTGCTGTGATTGATCGGCGGCGGCGGCGGCTGCGCTGTTGTGAACCATGGACGAGGACAGTGTGAAGCGTGCACTGATCAGTGCACTCAAAGAAGGAGCTTTCCAGGATCTGTTCCGCACAGAAGTGAAGGAAGCTGTCACGGCAGCCGTTCGAGAAGCACTAGCTCAAAAGGACGCGGAGATCCAGGAACTAAAGGAAGAGCTAAAGGAGACACGAGAGCAACTGAATGATCTAGAACAGTATTCCAGACGTCTGTGTCTCAACATAACTGGGATCCCTGAGGGAGGTGCGAACGAGGAAACAAACCGACTGGTTATGGACACAGCCAAGCTGGCGGGTGTAAATATCTCCCCACACGACATAGACACGTCTCATCGCATCGGCGGGACTGCTAGGCCCGGTAAGGAACGCACAATAATCGTGCGTTTCACCTCATTCAAGGCGCGACAGGAGCTATATAACGCTCGCAGAGAGCTTAGAAAGCCACGCCCTGTACCAGGGTCAAGTGTCTCAGCCGAAACTGCTGGTAAAGTTTTCCTGTCGGACAATTTAACTCGTGCAAACCAGCATTTGCTTTTCCAAGCCAGACAGCTGAAAAAAGCCAATAAGATCTCAGCAGCTTGGTCTGATGTCGGACGGCTGAAGATCCGCGTCTCCCAGAACGGACCAACCAGGATCATCAAGTCCATCGACGACCTGGAGAAACACGCTGGCGTTCAGCTGCGCGATGTGGCGGCCGGCGCATCGAAGTCGGCGGGCGGCGCCGGGGCGGGAGTCGGGCGCCGGGTCACCCGTCAGCAGGCGGCCCGGACTTCCCAGTGATCCGATGCGCCCTGTCGGTCTCCCTGCCCGACGGCCCTCGCGACGCCGCTGACGCCGTCGGGCAGCTGACGCATCTCAGCGGGACGATCTCCGACTGCAGCCCTCTCTGGACGCAGCATTCCGGTGCCCCGTGAGAAAGGCGCCTATCGATAAGGTTAGTCGGATCAGAGACTGTGTCATGTGTGTGAACTCTCGGGTTGGGTATTGGGCCGCAAAACCGGCCACTCTACAGTCCGGGAGCGTGTGGAGCCTTGACCGTGTCCGTGCCACAGTGCGACCGGTCGGTCTGGACTGTCTGTAGCCCCGAGCGCATCCCACGGACGCCGGAGGCAGCGGTCGGCTGCCCCGACTGTCTGGCTGACCGGGCGGGGCGACCCGGTGCACGTGAACTTTGGTGGCGTCTGACGCTGCTCATACTGCTGTCAGCCGGTGGGCTGGGCTGTGACACCGCCGCGCTCCTCAGTCGGACCTGCTGGCCGATGTGCCCTGCTGCCGAGGCACCGTGTCGGGTGTGGGCACGGGCGCTGCCTTGTAGCCGGACTTGGGATGTGACGCGGGCGGGTGCTGGCGGCCGCGGTCGGTGGCTCGTGCTGCCTGCTGGGGATTGCGGTGGGGTCGGGCGGGGATCGGGGTGTGTGTGGTGGTATAGACGTGGGGTTTCACTCAATCATCAGTCGTAGCAATGTTCCCTGTCACTTCCGTTTATGTCGTTTTATGTTTACGTTTCGTTTCCTTCGTTATCATGTTTTTTTTTACGTCGTAGGTATTGTTGTTGTCATTTTGCTTGTATATGTTGTTGATTATTATAACGTTCTGTCATTACCATGTTTCAAGCATATAATTTGATAATCACTGCAGCGCGGCCCGCCGCCACCGCCGCACTGTAGGCCGGCAGCCCGAAAAAGCGCTAGAAATTCATCCTAACTGACTGTCCGCAATATGAAGAAAATAGGTATCATTTAATCCCAAATTGATCGAAGAATACGATTCCGATGCCAGTTTTTCCCTAAGGCCAAAATTGAGGTCGTCAGTTGTCACCAAACACAAGACAATTTAGACTCTCTAGTGGCCACCACATTTGACGATTTTCATGATGATCTTTAGTGGTAATTTATTAGCTGACCAATCGTCGTTTTGAACGAAATTTCCTGTCAGACTAGTCCAGGGCACTGTTGTTCACTGTGCCAACATCATTCTTACATATTGCATCGCTTTTCTGCAAGATAAGCTAGCTTTTTGCAAGCAGCTGCAAGACGTAATTAAAAATCATATCTAATTTTTTAATTGGACTTTTATAAAAATGTGATTTCGAGCGGCTAAAAATGAACATTTTATACTAGCCTCTGATTACTCATCTTTCGTTTCATATAGGTGCTTTGCTGCTTTTCCCTGCTACTTTTCGAGATATGCGCCAGTAAACCACATGATGTAGGGGCAATTGTCACCTCGCCACTCTACTGAAGGCCCGGCGCTCTTTAAAGCGCTGGAAGTTGTGAAAAACAAACGCGTATAATCAGAATAAAATATATGTCCCTGAGCTTAGAATTGATCAACGCACACAATGCTGTCAAAAAATTGGGCTAAACTCAAAAATTCAGTCATTATTAACCCCCAAACACAAGTCAGTGATAATCAACAACAACTTGCTCTTTAGTTAGACTTTTTGAGAAATGACATTTCGAGCCGCTAAAAATGACCATGCCATACAAACCACTAATCATCTTTCTGTCATGCCCTACTCGCAATTTTTGCTAATGCCTGCTACTCTTCGAGGTCACGTGACCTCACCATTAAAAGTAAATGGGGAAATAAGGAAACTGTTGTTTTTGCGCATGGAATGATCTCAAACTATCTCAAGCACACGGAATCGTGATTTCATGCACTCCTTGCAAGATCCGATGCTTTACTTTTGCATTTTGACCTTCCGTGACGTCATTTATGACGTCACTACGGTCATAGGAGTTTCTCGTCAATAACTCATGATCAAATTGAGCCAGCGACTCGGGAAAGCCACCAATGGACTCGGAACGACCTCCCGAATCGAATGATATGCAATACGACTTCTTTCGATTAAGTTCGTGGCCTGAGGGGCTCTGACCTGACCTTGACTCGAGGTCAACACCTTAAGTTGACCTCACCCGGACAAAAAGTATACCATTCGACGCGCCTGAGCCAGGCGAACACGATGGTGCCAAAATCGCTGCTCTTCGGCCATTTTTTGCGAAATTACTTACCAAAAACTAAACCCTACCTTGGGCTTTCTGACTTCACCTCAGAGGTTACCGGTTGACCTGGGACCTTAAAATCGGGTATCAATCGTTCCGTCTTGAAACGGCGCACACGCTTGTTTTTTCCGCGAGGCTCTAGCTCCATTCGGGGAGAAACGGCGAAAAGGGGTCGTACCAACCCTCCCCCCTCGTCCGGCCGAGGGGGTGGGGGGTCCGACAATAGGTCCGGCGAGGGTTAAGCAGTCCCACTTCGTTTTAAGCATGTTTGCTTGTCACTGAGATCAACAACTCAATCACAGATAATTTCTAGCACTTTTCCGGGCCACCGGCCCAGTGTGCGCCGATGTGCTTCGTACACCGGATCGAGTCCACCGGAGCTGTCGCCGCCCCCTCGGGCGCGCCCGCCCGCCGACTGAACACGCCGTTGACTTTACTGCCTCGTAAATTAGCAGCCGCCGTCCGCTCGTCGCCGCTAGACAGTTCCTATCCTATCCTATCCTATCTTATCCTATCCTGGCCACATCACCTGCGAACTAAATTATTATCGCTAGAAACAAGAAAACGTCACATAACTCTTAGCATCCATACAACACACAAACACTGGAAACGCCTAGGGGAGCACAAAAATTTGCAAAGCTTGCTTGTTATAGGTGGCGTAGAAACAAATCCTGGGCCGAATATCTCACACGCTCTAAATGTTTCACATATAAATATCAACAGTATAACAGCGACGCAAAAGTTAGACGAGCTTCACCAATTCATCAACGCTAACGACATAAAAATCATGGCCCTAACAGAAACAAAACTGGATTGTACTGTTGCAAGCAGTTTGTACGCAATTGAAGGATATCACGCTCCAATAACCAAACACAGAACCAGACATGGAGGGGGAGTCGCAGTCTATGTTCACTCGTCTTTGCCTGTGCAGAGGTTAATAGATCTAGAAGTAGGAAACCATGAATGGCTTTGGGTCAAAGTAAAGACTAAAGCTTTCACTATAATCATATGCTGTCTATATTTGCCACCAAACCAACCAGTTGACAAATTAGACAATTTCATTGGAAATTTCTCGGAAGCCGTGCTACAGGCGCAAAGACATACACCCACTGCCACATTAATTTTAGGAGATTTCAACGCAGGAAACGCATACTTAAGTGAACAATTGCAAATTCGCAGCAGTGGAGTTACACCATTTGACAATGCGCTAAAAGACGCTGCTGATGGATTATGTTTGCACGAACTAATATGCAGAGCCAACGCGTTTTTCAAGAAACTCATGCAATTTAAGAGACTTGATATTCACGAATTGTATAGAAATAATCACTAAGAGCGGTACATTATCTCCATTTGCTAATTTGGATCATTGCCCAATATTCGCATCGTTAAACTTCATGCTGCCCTTACAAAATCAAGCGGACACCAGACTGATATGGGACTACACAAATATGGACACAACTCGTCTTACAAATCTTTTAATGGACACTGACTGGGATCGTTTACTTGACAGTGACGTAGACACAGCGACAACACATTTTACGAAAACAATATACGACGCAGCTGTTGCCTCAATACCGACTAAACGCGTGAAAATACAGTCCAACAAAAAATCATGGGTCACTTCTGAGTTGAAGAGGAATATAAGGAAACGGGATAGACTATTCAAGAAAGCCAAGAACACAAATCTGGACTACCACTGGGACAGATGGAGATACCAGCGAAACAAAGTAACGCAGCTTAATAGACGGTTAAAAAAATGCATACATGCAGAACGAAGTTAAAAAACTACTGGTGTTGAAGCCCAATCCGTTAAAATATCACCAGACATTGCGTAAGCTAATGGGAAAATCCAGAACTGACATAATTCCACCGCTAGAAACACCAAATGGCGACATTATCACAACGGACCCCGAAAAGACAGCAATACTTAACAACCACTTTGCCGCCCAATCGACACTCAACATTTCAGACTCGCAGCAGCTTCCAGATATTACACCCGAACAAATAGCCACACCTAATCTGGAAAACATCCGGACAAGTGAAAGGGAGGTATTAAAACTGTTGAACAGTCTTAACGTCAACAAATCAACTGGCCCAGATGAAATTCCTGTGAGATTATTGAAAATGACAGCTCTTTTAATTGCAGAACCTTTGTCTCGTTTATTTAACAAATCACTTGCAGAAGGCAAATTTCCATCAACATTCAAAGTGGCCCACATAACACCTATTTACAAGAATAAAGGATCCCCCTCAGATTTTACTTGTTATACACTGAAAAAAAATAATGACACCTAAAAGGGGTGTTTTTTGAAGCGTACCAAAAACGCGCAGTTTTCTGGAGTCCGATTACACCCGGAATCAGACACTTTCAAGGGTATTATGACACTGGTTGAGGGTGTATTTTTATACCGTACGGCGTCAAATGATTCCCGGAATCATACGCCTTATGGAATAAAAATACACCCCAAATCAGAGTCATAATACTCTAGGAAGTGTCTGATTCCGGGTGTAATCTGACTCCTGGAAACTGCGCGTTTTTGGTACGCTTCAAAAAACACCCCTTTTAGGTTTCACTTCAGGGAGTAATCGGATTTTGAGGGTGTATTTTGATCCCACACGGTGTATGATTCCGGGAATCATTTGACGACATGTGGTATAAAATACACTCCCAACCAGAGTCAGATTACCTCGGGGGGTGTCTGATTCCGGGTGTAATCGGACTCCTGGAAACTGCGCGTTTTTGGTACGCTTCAAAAAACACCCCTCGTAGGTGTCACCTCAACGGTGTCAAATGACTCTTGGGATGGTTTTTCTATACCGGTTCAGAGCCTGTTTCTGTTAGCGTCATACATCAGCTAATATCAATATTACCGGTACTATTGGTCTCCTATATAAGAAATACCGGTAATATTCGAGTGCGGGGATTGGGTTGTGTGCAGGGGTGAGGGATGCACTCGAACCGAGCTGCGGCGAGGGTATAAAGGGTATATTCATCGCATCAGAAAAACAGGTCGCCTGGGCCCTTATCTTGAGACCAATAGTATGGTACAACTAACCAACATACCCATGGGTATGTTCTGCTTCTGAAGCTTATAGGAATGATTAGCCAGACTGCAAAGAGACTTTAAATGTAGCTTACAATTGTCTTCACCCTTGCAGCTACAATTTTATCTATTGACGATGACGTCTTCTTTTCAATCAGTCTTTATACCAGATATTGTCAAATGATTCTCGGAATCAAACACCTTATGGGATCAAAATACACTCTCCAACAGAGTCATAATTGCAGTTGTTAACCACGTGACGCAAATTAACAATACATGCATGTCATTCTTTAATTTATATGCAACAATAAATTCCAAAACATTT